ACTCCTTTACAGTCGACACTTACGCTTGTGATGATGGTAACCACACAATCTTAAATAAACGTAAAAGCAAAATAACTCACACTGAAAGAAGGAAATATACGATTAAACTAGCTCTAGTAACTATACCCCCCCCCCCCGTACGGTTGCCGCTGCCCGAGCTACGATGAAACGTACCGCACTTGCGTCTTACACATATATCTACTAAATTATTCTACGTACCGCACTTTGTCTATGCGTCGTTTCGACCGATATCCCTTTACCACAATCCTCGGGCACTTGCCGCCTTTCTCTCTGACTCTGTCCTTAGAATAACTATCACTGCACTGCGGTGTAGCAAGCCAGGCCCCGTGTGGCCCCGCCGATGTCAATTACTCGGCATCTTAGCAGAGTTATTTGTCAACACTACATCCGAGCGAGTAAAAAAAACGGCCAATACGCCAGCTCGGCCAGAGGGCTAATCACTATACCTTCGCAGCCGACGACAGGCACGACGGCAGAATTCTCCTCCTCATCCTTTCAAGCTCGCCGAAAGGAAATTGCATATGAATGGGCAGCCGATCAGGAAATGCCGCGAACGACAGCAAACCGACTGCGGCCAAACACGAGCGGCAGGTTTTTTTCTGAGCCGTGCCGCTGATCTCGAAGCATGTGCGGGAAAATTCTCCTTCTACCCTGCGTTGAAAACGGCCGCGCGCGCCATGTTATGTTGTGGCGACCGCGGCGACCCCTGTCGCTCAGGATATTGCATCCGCAAGTGATCAATCGTCCGTTTGCTGTATACTCAACGAGAAAGACATTTCTTTTGGTGGAAATTCCCATGATTTGCAAACTAAAGGAGAAATGGAGCTACATTATTTTGTGAGCTGTGCGAGACGGACGAATCGCTTGCGATAGTATCCACGCTATGATAGCAAGCTTGCGGACGGACGTGCACCATATATCAGAAGTAGATATATAATAGGGAATTCCCGAGTTACAAAATCCGAGTTACAGCTAGCATGACCATGAATGGCTCCGTAGCCTTATGATATTGAGAGCTATGGGTGATTAATTATTATGGTTCTGATTATGTGTGTAATGATATCCGGCATAAATTGCGCGGGAATTGATCATTAAATACATTGTAGCAATAATGTATCGCATATAACGCACAATTATGTGTTACTTCCCGTGAGGGGTCGTGAGCGATATTTCCCATGGGGATCGGTGTCTCTTATGAGGGGAACGGGAATGTTTCCTGTGAGGGGTGTTAGGGTATGTTTCCTGTGAGAAGGCGTGAGGGGATGTTTCCTGTGAGAAGGCGCGATGAGTTGTCTCCATGAGGGGCCGTGAGGGGAAGTTTCATGTGAGCGGCATGACGGGATGATTTCCATGAGAGACTTGATGTAATGTTTTTATTTAGAAGGGCATGAAGGGAGATTTCATGTGAGAGATATTTCCCACTAGGAACGTGAGGAAACATTCATGTGAGAGGCGTAAATGGATATTTCCTGTGATGGGAGTGAGAGGATTCATCCATTGCATGCCAATGTCGTCATTAGCAAATCGCATGGCAATGTTGACGCAAGTGCTGTTAAGGAAAAACTGCCGTGATCTTTCGGGAAGGGTAAAAACCAGTCTCGAGCCTTGAGTAGCGAGGGCGGTGATGTATAGACTCTGATATATTGCTATAGCGAGAACGTAAAACCCGTTTTCATTAGGATAAGCCGAAGTGCGTGAACTTCAAAATTGCCATCGACTTATTTCTGTATAGACCAACCTCTCAGCCGTTCTGCTCGAATGTTAGTTATATTTAAATAATTCTCGTAGACAGGACTGTATACTCGCCAATGCTACGGTTTCGTCAACGAGCCACTTCTCGCCGTTTCAATTAGAATGCGTCAGTACTTTGGAAGTTTGAAAGATACTCAAGTGAAAACGGTAAATATTAGTTGATATTATTGTAAGGAGTTGAGAAAGCATCGTTCCCTTTACTCCGATTTTCTTCCGTGAGATCACGATTCGATGTACACTCCTCCGAGGAACAACTGAGTGAATTTAAACAAACAAAGTTAGAATACACGGATCAAGATCGCTGTTTCGGTCCAAGGAACTCAACAAGCTACATTCACCGAGCATGCGCGCGCGCATGCGTGTGTCTATATTATATATATATATGTGTGTGTGTGTGTGTGTGTGTGTGTTTGTGTGTGCGTGCGTGCGTGCATGCGAGAGAGAGAGAGATAGAGCGCGAGACGTGGAGAGGGTAACGAGAGCATTCACCCTGTACGTTGCTGGGCAGCACAGCTGTTGGAGCAGCCGGCCCCGCACCACAATATTTGCTCGCCGTGTGAAGGTCCCACAGCCCCTCTTTATTCAGAGACAGCAGTGACATTTGTTGGCCTTCGACTTCCATCAGCCGCAAGGTAAATAAATGGCCGCCGCAATTAAGCTTACGGCTGAGAAAGCAGACTGTGCCGCTCGGCCAACCACCGGAAGGTGCCTTTCTCCTAGCGATCACACCGGTAGTGTATAAATAATAATGATGAAGCGAGCTATAGATGCCACCGGGATAGCTTCTTACACGCGCCTCTCGTTTCGCACGGGAGGTGCTGCCGTGCTACTGTGTAGTGTAACCGCACACCACAGACGCACGTACGTACGCACTCACACACACACACACATGCACACGCACGCATACACACACGCACACACGCACGTACACACGCACGCAAACACACACACGTACATGCGAACTGAAGCATAACCGTACGCGCGCACACACATGTTCGTACGTATATACGCACATACGCACGCACGCACGTACGCACTCATTCACGCACGCACGCACGCACGCACGCACGCACGCATGCACGCGCGCACGTTCGTATAAGCACACACGCGTGCGCGTATATATGACACTACCGTCATCGTCGTTGGTTCATGCTGGCGAAGTTAACATATGATAATGGCGCTGATATATACACGTGTGACTTGTTAGTGACTCATCCCGCATAACACTTCGCTGATTTGAAATTTAATAGGTTATAGGACGGCGTTACATGATTTTATAGCAAGATTAATGCTTAATCGAATTACCCGGTGATCTTTAATAACCATAAATAGCGAGATATATACAAATGGCAGGCATACTGAACCAACCCTAATGCAGTACAGACACAGTTGTCATTTAGAAACCACAAATGCGAAGGCGTCACGTAACACGGTCCGGGTATTAAAGACACTATAATAGAACCGAGAGAATAGAATATGTATATGCACTAGGATTCTAGGAATGATACGCATATAGAACTTCCCGATATAGTTTCACGCGATTCCCGACTCTTTCGCGGCATTTATGGCAGCAATTTATCAAACTATATTTACTCCGGTCTTGCCGCCGCAAATAACTCACGGTTGACGATCGTGATGCGCATATTTATCACCCGTGTCCGTAGCGGCCTCGGGGTACACGTACACGTCCCCTGTTATCCACGTACAGCAAGTCTGCCCGCCATGTACCGCGACATGCCCCCCACTTTACGTTATTACGGTTGAATTTCATTGAACAATTACTATAATTATATCAAGAGCATTCTTTATCACCTTTTTTATATGCTCTTGATTAAGCTAAAGTCACACCAAGCTCCCGGACCGCGCCGGACTGATCCGGGGAGAGATCCTTGTTGGGTCCTGGACGGTCCTGGACGGTCCGGCCCGGTCCGGGGTGGTCCTTGATGGTCCGGCGCATTCCGGGATATCGCCCCGGATGTTTTAAACTGTTTAAAATTGCCGGGGTGATCCGGTCACACGCACACGCACACACACACACACACACACACACATATATATATATACATGAACACGCACACGCCCACGCACACAGCCGCACACGCACACACACGCGCGCGCACACACACACATGAACACGCACACGCCCACGCACACACGCCCCCCCCCACACCCGTAGATATGAATAAGCACACAAACACGCCCACGCACACGCACACGCACACACCCGCCCGCGCGCACACACGCGCACACACATACTCTCTCTCTCTGGGCTGCCATGGGTGTGACGAACATCAGAACTACAGGGTGTTAGCGCGACTACCGACATAATATCCTATTCAGACTTTATATTGTGTTTTCCTAGCCTAGGGAACCAGCGATGTATGGATAGCTACACTAAAATCTGAAGTAGAGCCCCTCATATTGACATACAGTAGCTGTACTATGTAGTTAGTAAATATATACATCCCTGAGCATATTTGCGTTCTTTACAGGTCGTATATAGGCTTTACGTGTTTTGCATAAAAACAGACGAAAAAGTTTCTCTAATATGTGATCTTAACGTTCAACTTCTCAGCATTTTTCACTAACGCGATGGTGATGGTCTAGCGACAATATTACATTCCAGCATACAAGGAACATAAATTATGTTGTTTTGGTGCCTTCTTCGATCTCCATAGACCAAAATCAAATACACAAATGTATCAAGCCTGTTTTATTAATTATTATAACTAATTTAATATACATTATTAATAAACAATCTCAATTTAAAAAGAATACTACTTGATAAAATATTGATGTGTAACAAATGTGTGTTAATCCAGATAAATCTGACTCTTAGCCACACTTGCAAAAGATAACCGTAACACGCGCTTTACCAAAAAGTTCGCTACCAAATACGAACCTTATGATTGCTAGGATCTATGACATTGGTATTCGTGGTTAGGTACTGGTGTCACGTGTGTGCGTGCGCGCGTGCGTGCGCGCGTGCGTACTTGTGTAGTGAGGAAACTGCTTCCTGCCCTAGATCATGGAGCAATATAACAAAAATATGATAAATAAGATAGATATTATGAATAATAAAGTAATAGGACAGACACACGCGCACCAACGCGCATGCTCAAACGCACGCACACACACTTTCAAACGCACGCACACACACGCATGGACGCACGCAAGCATGAACCCATAACGAATTGTATTTCTTAAAAAAAAAAAACCGAATAAACTACAGTAATTGCAAGAAATACTTTAATTTTGTCAATATTAGATTTTAATTATAATGCTTTATAATGTGAAGCATTACACGTAGTGACCACAACTTGTGATCATGGACGAAGCGCATTTACACAGTGTGGAAAACACGGATACGTTAAACCAGACTAATACAAGCAGCGAGTTCACAAGATCAAACGAAAACACGGTGCGTACACCACGCGCGGACATAGCATGTTAACCCCATCACATCGCTGGCACAGATCCCTAACTGCTATCACTCTTCCCCCGCATCGCATCTCCAGCGTCCTCGACATCTAACTGCTATCACTCTTCTCTTGCATCCAACCTCCAGCATTCCAACTGCTATCACTCTTCCCTCGCATCGCACCTACAGCATCCTCGATGTCTAACGCTATCACTCTTACCCTCGCATCGCGCCTACAGCATGCAACCTCGATGTCTAAACTGCTAATCACCTTCCTCGCATCGCGCCTACAGCAATCTCGATGTCTTAACTGCTATCACTCTCCCTCGCATCGCGCTACAGCATACCTCGAAGTTTAACTGGCTATCACTCTCCTCGCAAAAATCGCGCACTAACAGCATCCTCGATGTTTAAACTGCTATCACTCTTCCCTCGCATCGCACCTACAGCATCCTCGATGTCTAACTGCTATCACTCTTCCCTCACATCGCACCTACAGCATCCTCGATGTCTAACTGCTATCACTCACTTCCTCGCATAAGCACTAACCAGCATCCTCGATGTTTACCTGCTATCACTCTATCCCTCGGCATTACGCGCTACACAGCATCCTCGATGTCTAACTGCTATCACTCTTCCCTCACATCGCACCTACAGCATCCTCGATGTCTAACTGCTATCACTCTTCCCTCGCATCGCACCTACACATCGCTCGAACAGGGGGAGAAGGGGGGGGGAGGGGGGGGAGGGGGTCTAAACTGCTATCACTCTCCGCTCGCATCGCACCTACAACATCCTCATGTTTAACTGCTATCAAAGCTCTTCCCCTCGCATCGCCACCTACAGCATCCTCGATGTTTAACTGCTATCACTCTTCCCTCGCATCGCACTAACAGATCCTCGATGTTTAACTGGCTAATCACTCTTCCTCGCACAGCACTACAGCATCCCTCGGTGGTCTAAGCTGCTATCAACTCTTCCGCTCGCATCACCTACAAGCATCCTCGATGTCTAACTGCTATCAGCTCTTCCCCTCGCATCGCGCCTACAGCATCCTCGATGTCTAACTGCTATCACTCTTCGCCTCAGCATCTCACCTAACAGCATTCCTAGACTCCTAACCGCTATCACCCTTCTCGCATCGCACCTCCAGCATCTAACTGTTATCACTCTTCCCTCGCATCACACCTCTAGCTAACTGCTATCACTCTTCCCTCGCCTCATACCTCCAGCACACTCAACGTCTAACCGCTATCTCTCTTCCTTCGCATCACACCTCCAGCATCCTAGACATCTAACTGCTATCACTCTTCTCTCAACATCGTAAGCTCCAGCGTTGTTGACATCTAACTGCTAGTCTCATCTTCCCTCACTCACACTCCAGCAATCCTAGACATCTAACTGCATATCACTCTCCTCGGCATCACACCTCCAGCATCCCTGACATCTAAGCTGCTGATTCACTCTTCCCATCGCATGACACACCATCCAATCCTAGACATCTAACTGCTATCATGACCCTCTTCCTCGCATTCACACTCTTAGCTAACTGCTATCACTCTTCCCTTCCTCGCACCTCTAGCATGCTCGAACGACTATTCACTCTGTACCCAACGATGCGGAATCGACACCTCGAGCGTCGTTGACGTTTGCGTGATGCCGCTGATAGATGTTAACGTGTATGATTGAGCGGCACGAATTTGCTGCGCTGACCAACCTTGATCGCCTCCTGCGCGGAGGCGCCCCCTTAGCGAAGCCGCGACGGAACGCGAGCTCGGCAGCACGTTATGCGACAACCTACGTGAATAGTGCGTCGTCCGTCGCCCGAATCGCCGGCAAGCCGCCCACTCGGCGAGCAGCCGGCTCGCCACGCCATTCAGCAGCGCAATGTCCGTCTCCAACCGTCCCCGCCGCGCGCACCGGGACGGTAAGCGGCTGTGCTCGCCGGCGGAACCGCCCGACGGCACGCAGCAGCGCATGACCACCACCGTCGCGTTGTCGTCGCGTCGTCCGGCAGCGGCGCCCCTCTAGCGGCGGGGCGGCGGCTGTCCGGCGGCGGCGCGCGGCTGTGCTCCTGCGCGACGCGAGCGGGCCAGGCGCGTCACGTGCAGAAAGGCGGCGCCGGCGGCAAAGCCGGCACAGGTCGTCGTCGTGCGCTCCGCGCCGCGGGCAAAGCCGAGCTGGCTGCAGCTGCGCGTTGACGCGCGCGCGCACGCGCTCGGAGTCGCGGCGTGCCGCCGCGCGCGGTAACGCCCCTGCAGCGCCACGTAGCGCGTCCCGAGTCGGCAGGTCATGTCCGGGCAGCGTGCCGCGCAGAGCAGCGAGCCGCCGCCCTTCTTGTCGACAAAGTCCTTGACGTGCGCCGTCCATGCATCAGAACGCCTTGCTCTCCTTCAGTGAGCCACATGCAGGCCTGCGGGGCGAGACGCAGCACGATTAGCGCACGGTGTTGCTGCAGTAATAGATGCGCGTCAGGTAGCTAGAATGACACTGCTATATTAGGCTAGGGGGGATGGCACTTGCTACATAGCTGATGGCACTGCTACATAGCTAGATGGCGCTATCATGTAGTTAGATGACACTGTCATGTAGCTAGGCGACACTGATACATAGCTAGACGATATTGTCGGGTAGCTAGATGACACTGCTATATTAGCTAGCGATGACAACTGCTATAATAGCTAGACGACCTGCATATACTAGATGGCACTGCTACATAGCTAGATGACACTGATACATAGCTAGATGGCACTATCATGTAGTTAGATGACACTGTCATGTAGCTAGATGACACTGATACATAGCTAGATGGCACTGTTGTATAGCTAGATGACACTGCTATATAGCTAGACGACACTGTCGGGTAGCTAGATGACACTGCTATATAGCTAGATGACAAACCTTTGCTGTATGCTCAGATGACAACTGTCAGATAGTAAATGACATTGCCTATATAGCTAGATCACACTCTATATAACTAATATGACACTCTAATAGTTAAATGACACTGCTACATAGCCATATGTTTAACTGCAGGTGTCATTCATAATAATTACATATCGTACGTATGTATCCACAGCAGCAACTTACTAGATCCCAACTCTATAGTGATTCTAATCCTAACCCAATCCCACTAATTACATAAATCAAGACCTCATCTAAATCTCACTGATCCTTGAAGATTCCTGTATGCGCTGCGGGATTTCGTCCGGCATTAAAGCCCGTGTTAACTGCCTTAACAGCTTCATCAAAGTTCTCCTCCTCACGCCAGTCGCATCTTCATTCTCGCATCACGCCCCCATGATCAGCTTTCTTGAATTCCTTTCTTCTCCTGCAAACACAATTCAATAATTGCTACAGGATTTAGCAAGTGACAACGGAGCCCGCTGTGATACGAAACGCGACTATGATAGATTACACTACAAATGGGAAAAAGATGGAAGCATGAAGAGCAGGCTTCACCTTTCACAAGGCCAGATTGGTCAAGCCCCGTAATACACCGCCGTCCTGGTGTAGCACGGGGCTTTTTTTCGGCCCGTCCAATTCTTGAGATTCCGAGAAATCGAAAACGAAAGTCAATTCGAGAAAATATCCAAATATCATATAATACCAAATAGTAGGGAATAATGCATAGAGTAACAATAGTGTAAAACACACACGGAAACGATGAGAGCCTGTTTAAACTTCTGAAATATCACTCCCGTGAGGCTCAAAGCTCCGCCGCAAAAATTTAGAGTATTTTTTCAACAGACTATTTGAAAAAAGAGCTCCGTAAAAAAAAGTTTATTTTTTCCAGGCGGTACAATACTTATGAATGTAACAAAGATTTTTATTACATAATTCATCAGTTTAAAAACACTCAGCCGCATCTAGAGAAAATCAGCCCGTCCGAGCAATGCCGGGGCCGTTATTATTAGGCCCCGCTGTGTTTTCCCAGACGGCGAAGCTTGGAAAAAGCTTTTGTATTGTTTGTATCATCAGTAACAATAGGCCCAGTAAGAATTAATAATATAATTGCCACAATGAAATAATTATATGCACATTTCTCTCTAGATTTCTAACCATATACTACGTTGCAAGTGTAGTAAATTATTGAGTTTTGCAAATAATCTAGACTTAGAAGCCAATTACACTGATTAATAGATCAATTTTAATCAACATACTCATACATTACCCCTGTGGCACATCAGTTTTTTAAATTGTTCGACAAAATTAATTAATTAATGTCAAACAAGATTGCTTCTAGATGTAATATTGAAGCGTATGTAAAATTACTTTGATATAAGAAATATCATGGTAAGGAAGACGCGAAACAGAGTGATAGAATGGAAAGACGGGAGAGAGAGAGAGAGAGAGAGAGAGAGAGAGAGAGAAGAGATGAGAGATGGAGAGCAGAGAGAGGAGAGAGAGAGAGAGAGAGAGAGAGAGAGAGAAAGAGAGAGAGATATAGATGCTTGGGCAAGGAGCAAAAGGAAGAAAATTATAATATGGGAGAGGGTTAGGGAAAGGGGTAGTGAATGTAGTAGTAAGACATACCTGGTACGTGTGTGGTACCTCCCCTCCATGTTCTGATTTCCACTGATCCAAGTACTTTAATAATATTATTATATACCTATATACAAAACAAGAAAAGCCGGTCAGAACTTCTATGTCTATAATATGCATGTTCAGTTGATAAGATGTGAATGTCTGTGCATGAATAAATGCCCTATAGCAGGAAGAAAAATTCAATAAGCATTCTCATTCTAAACCAGATACAATTTTCTCATGGGTTTACATTAATACTGTTTATCAATTCCTCACTTTTAACCATCAACAACTTGGATGGAAATAGGGTAATGCAATACAGTAACCCTAGTTTGTTGCTCACACGATGGCGCCACATTCTTAAATCATATATAACAGCTTGTTGCTACCAGGTGCCTATCAAAAAGATTATATCCTTTACCCATCTACAATTACATATGGCATCATAAGTAGACGTACAAGTTCGTGACGTGACCGTGGCCGCGATCCGAAAATTTCACCGGCGTGCGCCAACTCTAACCAAAACGAAACGCCGTGAAACACTCCCCGCTCGCGCGCGGCGTACGTACGGCGTGTGGCTGTGATCTTTCTTCATCATCACTGGCGTGCATAACTCTAACAAAACGAAACGCCGCGACACAATCTCCACGTGCGCGCACACGCACGGCATACGTATAGCACGCGGAGGTGATTTCATTAAATGACCGTGATATGAATATCGTATCAGCGTGCACCAACTCTAACCAAAACAAAACACTCGCCGCTCGCGCTCTTACACCCGGCGTACGTACGGCGTGTGGCTGTGATCCTTCTTCGTCATCGCGCCCAGATCCATCAAGTCCGCGTACTCCTCGAGCTCCGGGAAGGGCTTCAGCAGCCGCAGGTCGGGGATCGCGCTGTCCGGATGCGACTCGATGACGGCGTGCTCCTTAACGACGAGCCGCATGTATCCAAGGAAGCCGTAGGAGTCGGCGACGAGCAGCGGCACCTCGGCGTCCCACAGCAAGCGCGCGAGCGATAGCAGCGTCTTGTC